TTACTCGATATCAGATAACATGTAGATTACAATGCGATATATACAGGTTAGAATTTCTCAATATCTGAGAATATGTAGACCACACTATTATATTCAGGTTAGAATTACTCAATAATCGACAATATGTAGACCACACTGCTATATTCAGGGTAGAATTTCTCAATATCAGACAATACATAGACCACACTGCTGATATTGAGTAACTATAACCTGAGTATATCAGTGTAATCTACATATTTTCAAATATTGAGTTATTTCAAATTCAATATAGCAGTGTGATCCACATATTTGCAGATATTGAGTAATTCTTATCTGAATATACCATTGTAATCTACATGTTATCTGATATTGAGTGTGGTCTACATATTTTCAGATATATTGAGTAATTCTAACATCAATATAGCAGTGTGGTCTTCATATTGTCTGATATTCAGTAATTCTAACCTGAATATTTAAGAATATGTAGACCACACTATTATATTCAGGTTAGAATGACTGAATATCAGACAATATGTAGACCACACGGCTTCATTCAGATAATAATTACTCAATATCTAAAATATGTAGACCAAAGTGCTATATTCAGATAAGAGTTATTCAATATCAGACAATATGTAGACCACATGGCTACATTCAGATAAGAATTATTCAACATCAGATAACATGTAGATTACAATGCTATAATCAGGTTAGAATTACTCAATATTAGATAAAATGTAGACCACACTGCTATATTCAGGTTAGAATTACTCAATATCTGATAATATGTGGACAACACTGCTATATTGAATTTGAAATTACTCAATATTTGAAAATATGTAGATTACACTGCAATATTCAGGTTACTGTTATTCACTATCAAAGAAAAAGTAGACCACAATGCTATATTGAATTTGAAATTACTCAATATTTGAAAATATGTAGATTACACTGCTATATTCAGGTCAGAGTTACTTAATATCTAACAATATGTAGACCACATTGCAATATTCGGGTTACAATTTCTCAATATCTGTTAATATGTAAACAACGTTGCAATATTTGGGTTAGAATTACTCAATAGCCAACAATATGTAGACTACAAAGTAATAATCAGGGTAGAATCTCTTAATATCCGAGAATATGTAGACCACACTATTATATTCAGTTTACAATTACTCAATATCCGACAACATGTAAATTACAATGCTATAATCAGGTTAGAATTACTCAATATTAGACAAAACGTAGACCACACTGCTATATTCAGGTTAGAATTACTCAATATCTGATAATATGTGGACCACACTGCTATATTGAATTTGAAATTACTCAATATTTGAAAATATGTAGATTACACTGCTATATTCAGGTTAGAGTTACTTAATATCTAACAATATGTAGACCACATTGCAATATTCGGGTTAGAATTTCTCAATATCTGTTAATATGTAAACAACGCTGCAATATTCGGGTTAGAATTACTCAATATCCAACAATATGTAGACTACAAAGTAATAATCAGTGTAGAATCTCTTAATATCCGAGAATATGTAGACCACACTATTATATTCAGGTTACAATTACTCAATATCAGACAATATGTAGACCACAC